ATGATGTTATTTCGAACTACCTAAGGATAGTTTATTAAATGTTTATCTTCAAGCACTTCTGTGGCACAATGGATAACGTTCTTGACAACGGGTCAGCAGACTCCACAATTTCGCCTCTCAATGCCCTAGTATGGTCGAGGGTGGGGAGAGTCTGCTCTCCCTCTCGAAATACTCGTACACGGTCACGCGTATACAGCTACTGTTAGATAAGTCCTACCCACTGCCTTCTCGATGTGAGGGTGTTGTTTACGAGATTAAAAGGACGAAAAGCGAATGTCCGGCGCTCTAACCGGGTTGATCCACCTAGAAGCAACCGGGCAGCATCAAAGCCCCCATACAAACCAATGGTAATTACTACTAGAAAATCTACTCTTGCTTCAACGCTCATTCGGACAAATCATATTCACCATCACATAAAATTCGTTTTTATTTATTTCATACCACGTCACTTATATACTTCCCCTTACTCTCATTTTATTTTCTAACTTATACAGCAGCTCGCCTATGGTGAAAACCCTGTCCTATCTAAATGATCTTAAATCACTGAATGATCGAAAGGTGAATGCTACCACTGAATATGAACACTTAAACAGTCTTTGTGAAACCACATATACCATTCAAACTGGCATCCTTCGACGCTCACACACTAATGCAGATAGGACAACAGATAGGGTTGGTGATGTATTTAGAAAATCACAACATCGATTGCAGCTTCTGTTGCAACTAAATATTAAACCGAGCTGGGTTAAAAACCAGATTCCAGACCGCTGAAAAGTATAGATGAGCATTGGTTGCAATTACATGTCATAAAAATGGAGAGTATTGTCGCTTGCGGCTTCGCGAAACGTCCAGGTTATAAGCACTGGGTTTCTGACAACTTACTGAAGCCCGTCGGTCTACTCCGGGTGCCCGTGAGTTTGACCATAATCGAAGACTTTTACGTTATGAGATTGTGCAAGCTTGCGTAAGGACCGAGAAGCCTGATGGTCGGAACGTGCTAACGAGTTGGAAACAGCAGCTGCTTCCGGTGACTGCCGGAAGCTCTTTCAACTCATTCGAGTCACTGGTAGAAAGAATTCTGGTGTGAATGAGACAATCTGTGAAGATGATGAGATATCAATCACTAACATATGCCGACGTCTTGGACGACGGGTAGTTTTTCGAGCAACAGTTAAGCTGATCTGCTGGTCCAGCAACATTGATCAGACTGTCTTGACCTCCATGGCCTATGACTGACCCACTCAACGAGGTGGAAGCACGCATGGAGATCCAACTCTTGGAGCACAACAAATCACCAGGTTCAGATGACTTACCTCTGACCCTTTTTAAAGACAGTGGTGACCTTCTAGTTAAGGAAGTGACAGAGCTATTTACAAAGGCATGGTAGTTAGTGTTCCAACACCGTGGAATCAGTCGATAGTTTTTCCTATTTTTAATAAAAATAAGGTTCACGTCATCTATGCAACAACTATCGGAGGGCCCCCAAATGCCCTGGTATGGCCGAGAGCGGGGAGGGTTCGCCCTCCCTCTCGAAATACTCTCACACGGCCACGCGTATACAGCCTCTGCCAGGGAAGTCCTACTCACTGCCTTCTCGTGGCGGGGGTGTTGTTTACGAAAATAAGAGGACGAAAAGCGAACGTCCGGCGCTATAACCGGATCCCAAATCAATGGTGCACATGGGCTCCAGTATCCTGCGAGGACAAACGGCATGTGAACCAATATCTTGATCACCGGCTTCCATGGGACTGAATCTCCTCACGATGCTCCACTGCCTAGTGGACTAGACCTTTAGGTCAAAGGCTTGGGGCGTGGCCCCCTAAGAAAAACCACCTGCTTCGGTTTGGGCACCCGGGCAGTATCTCAGCCCACACACTAAAACATGATGGACTATCTACTCATGGAAAATATTCCTTTCGCTCCGATTAACAATGAAATGGCTCGCACTATTATTATTATTTACTACGTCATTTATTCACTCTCTTCTATTTCCACTCTGTCTATCCTTATTTTTCGACTTATACAGCAGCTCGCCTATCGTGGATATTCGGCTCTATCTAAACGTTTTCGTGTCACTACCTGGTTGAAAATTGTATGTTACCACCGAATAAGAGTACTGAAGCAGTTTTTCTGAAACCACGTGCACCATTCAAACTGGCTGCCTTCAACGTTCGCACACTTATGCAGGTCGGACAACAGATAGGGCTGGCTATGTCTTAGGAAAGTCTTAATATTGACGTTTGTTGTCTATCCGAGACCCGTATTCAAGAATCTGGTGAAGTACTACAAATTCGCTCTCCATCTGTCACTTCAAAAAGCTTCTTTTACGTGCTTTATCCGGGGACACTGTGGCATCTTCGTCTGGTCTTGCTGGCGCTGCACTAAGCGCTAGAGCTGAGACAGCACTAATCGATTGGATACCCATTAATAGTCGTTATGTGCTGTTAGATTATAAAGTACCATCAAAGTGAGAAGAAATCGGCGTGAGCAACGATGTCTTTTCGTCATCTCCACCTATGCCCCGACAGATTGCAGCCCGGATGCAATCAAGGATAAGTTCTACCCCCAGTTAACTGTTCCTCTCCAGAAAGTGAGTTCGACAGATATTGTAGTACTAGCCGGAGACTTGAATGCTCAGATCGGGCGTCTAGGCACAGAAGAGAGTCGTTTAGGTGGCCGATGGGGACTTGTTGGTAGCAGGACAGATAACGGACAACGTCTACTGCAACGGTGCACAGACCACAACCTGTTTCTGGCTAGCACTAACTTTCGGCACAGTCATCGCCAATGTGCCACCTGGCTTCCTTTCTCTGCATCTCAAGCCTGGACTCAGATTGATCACATCGCGATCAGCTACCACTGGCGTGGTTGTGTACAAGACTGCCGCTCCTTTTCGAGTACCTATCTGGACTCTGATCATGCCCTGGTCTGCGCCAATTTTACCTTACTTTTCAGTGGACAACGAAGTGACCGCCACCAAAGGATTGATGTCAGCGAATTGGTTGCAACGTCTGTTGCTAGTAAGTATCGAATCGAGCTAGCTTCTAGGCTAGCTACCATTCCACCGAAAAGTATAGATGAGCATTGGTTGCAATTGCATGACGCCATGAAAATGGTGGATAAAGTCTGTTGTGGGTTCGCGAAACGTCCCGCTTATAAGCACTGGGTTTCTTCTGGTTCCTTACAACTCATTGAAGCCCGTCGGTCTACTCCGGGTGACCGTGAGTTTGACCACAGACGAAGGATGTTACGTAATGAAATCGGGCAAAGCTTGCGTGAGGACCGAGAAGCCTGGTGTTCGGAGTGTGCTAATGAGCTGGAAGCAGCGACTGCATCTGGTAATTACCGGAAGCTCTTCCAACTCATCCGTGCCACTGACAGCAAGAAGTCTGGTGTGAGCGAAACAATCTGCGAGGATGACGGAACGCTAATCACTGACATCCATCGATGTCTTGGACGATGGGCATTTTTGTGTGGCGCATATATATTTGGTGCCCCCTTGTACCAATATTTATGTGTTCAAATAAATAAACTATCGGAGGACAACTCTACTTCCGATTGCGTCTAAACCATTGGCTTACGTCATACTTCGTAAATTATTCAAAACCCGAGAAAGATTGACTTGTGAGAAACAAACTGGCATGAGTGTTGAGATCAATTCATGTATAACGAAAGGCAGAGCCGCTTATACCAATCTGGGCCGTCTTTGGCGCCTTCGTGATGTTAGTCTGGCTCTAAAGTGTTAAATCTACAACGCGTCGGTGAGAGCAATTTGACTCCATGCTTGTGAGACCTGGCCTCTCTCAGTTGAGGATTTTAGACGACTCTCTGTTTGATAATAGTTGTCTGCAAAGGATTGCTGACATCCAACGGCAACACCATGTTAGTAATGCAGAGACTGAACATCGTGTGCTCGGGCACAGTGACGATAATTCAATTAGTGTCACTATCTTGAAACACAGACTTCGGTGGATTGGATATGTCTCAGAAAACTCCACGTCGTGTATTATTGATCGATGCTGGGACCGGTTGGAAAAAGCGGAGGTAGTAAGTGTATGACATGGTGTCGTGACATAACTTATTTAACTGAAAGAATTCTTTCTGGTTGCAATTTTCCTAACCGAACTGTTTTGCCCACTATTGTTATTATTTTACTCTCACACACTAATTTCTGTTCGTTGTTGTTGTTCTTTTATTATATGCACTTTACATTCTCTAACTCTTCACAATTTCATTATTTTGTGGTGCCTCCTTGTGCCAATGTTTATGTTTTCAAATAAATAAATTGATTTTTACAGATAAATGTAAGATGGTAAGAGACGGGATTTGTTTTTACCGTTAATTTGTCTTGGACAGAAAGACATTTTATTTACGAAACCAGTTGTAGTGATCTAAATTTGTACCACATAAATTAACGTTGGGACATATCATACCTTCATATCCATGGGAATAAGGTTAGAATGCAGATACATAAATATAAAGTGTACGGGCCGCGTCAACTTGATACACCTTACATTAACAAATGGTTGAAAAGATTAAGTAAATGACAAGAGTGAATATAGTGAGTCCTTCAATAGTGAAGTAATTAAAGAAAAGTGTGAAAACAGATGACAAGTATTCAGTAATAAGAGACTTAGATTTAATAGACAGTACGCTAATGCAGTCGATTTTGTGTTTTACGACAAAATACCTCAAGCCTCAAATTAAGGATAAATTAACTGCTTCAATCAGGAAGCTTATCATTTCCTAAATGATTCAGATCACTAGTCAATGACTCAGGTTGATAGTGTAATATGATCTGGTCACCCTTCGCCAGGAGTTAAATATTATTTTTTGTCCTTGACATAAATACGAGAATAAATAAAATTATCGGATTCCTTTTCAGTTATAGCCTACAGGTTTACATCCAATTCTATTCTATATGGTTGTCTACTGTTCCCAGTATTTCAACAATGTAGCAGACAAACCATTATTCATGATAGGGTTGAAAAGCAAAGGAATAAAATTAGAATGTTATTAGGTACATCGAACAATTGTACAGTTAAAAAAATATAAAGCGTATTAAATCTTGTAGGCATAAAAAAGAGCGATACCTAGTATAGTAAGTTGAACATTCAACAGCAACATCACCATAGATGTGTGGTGAATTCTGACATAAAAGTTTATTTTAAAATGCAATCTTTAAAGTAATGTTTATCAAGCAATTCAGAAAGTGTCAACAGGAACATTTGATGACTGGACAGGATGGAGCGGCATACACGATGTATTTTCTATGAACTGTACACCAGACTGGCCGTCACAAAAACTAGATGTGTCCAACTTATTATTTTGATCCTCATTTTCCTGATCCAGTTGAGAAATATTTTCCACTTGTTCTTCATTACCCAGTAAATTAGACTCTTCGTTATCTTCTGTAGGCTGTTCTGGTTCTGGGCACCCATCTAAGAGACCATCGCCCCAGTCGATCGGAAAGCGAGTAACACGAGGGTCTGAAGCTATTATATGTCGTTCCAGCTGGAAATTATGATAAATTCATGAGAACTTAATGAAAAAAAATAGAATTCAAACAATTGAAGCGGCTGTTGACCATATCATTTTAAGAAAGCTTTCTTATCAACAGAATTTAAGTAAGCATACAACTAGACACGGGTCCATACATTTTAACTGCGTAATGACAACAATGAAAGCCAAGATATAAATTTTAGGTTATCTGTTTATGTGGTGGGCTGGTAACGGTCAAATAATGGGAACCACAGAGAGATAATATAATTTCTAGAACGACATTTTGAAAGTATTTAATTGACACAGAACTGCTAAATGTTTTCTACTCAAGATTGCACTGAATTTATTACCAGGTGAAGCAATATCTAGCTAGCAAATCTTCATCCTTATAAGATAGCAAAAGTAGTTGTAGTTTGTTCGATAATTTCCTAGTAAATGAGTACCCACTAATTCATCACACCGTGCTATGAGTTATGAATCGATAGTTTCTAAGCTCTTTGTTTTGAATACTTGTTGATACATCGCATCAACTACGCAAGTCATAAACAGAAAACAGTGAGAATATTTTGTGTTAATTACATTGGTACCACCTTACGAGTTTTGGTTAATGCTATTTGAAAGCACAATATGCTAATACAAGTAACTTATGAGTTAGCTACAGTCCGTGTGTAAACTTGTTTATGTCGGTGTTCATACTACTAAAAATAATGGAACGTTTTCTGTCATATACGTTCTTTACAAAGATATTCCGCCATGAAGTTTGAAAATTTTCTACAATATTTGTGAACCTGATCTGACAGTGATAACAATGGATTTCTTAATACAACTTAATTTCTCTCCGGCTGTTTGAAAAGTAATAGCAAATCACCATTACAAAATAGGCGGCTCAAAAGAAAGCAGTCAATATACCAACAATTTGATATTGTTGAATTAAATGAAATTGTTGAAAAAAACCTTTTCGTCTATTAAGCTACTTACCTTGTCTAAAATATGTGGAGTGTAAGGATTGGAGGGATGATTGAAAGCTAAGTATAGAATTTACCAAGCCATTGTTGTCACTTAGTTCGTTGACACAAACAAATATGTTTGATTCAGCTAAAACCTTTAGCTTTAGATTTAAAAGTTGGCGATATGGTCAAAGCTCTGTACAAAGGCAGACTATGTTGACTAAGTTTTAGGATTTAAAATGGTGTAAGACATAGATGTATGCAATTTGTGTGTATTTTATTGTCCCCTTATTTGTAGCCTTGAGAAACTATGCCAGAAGTATCCTGACAGAAAACATAAAGAAACACATGTTTTCAACTTCATGAAATTCGAAATTAGGGCAACAGTGAAGAATTACATTTCGAGATACCAGTAACCACTTCCAAGTTCATGTACTAGGTTATAGAAGATATTCACTGAGTGGGGACTCAATGTTGCCGATTTGTTTTTTTTTACGTAAGAATAGAGATATCAAGAATCAGACATTGTTATTGTGTTCATCAGCATCACAAAGTTTTTAGATAGAACATTATAAATTTCGCTTTTCTATGCATTTACGGAAGATGTCAGAATATACTTCAGTCAGTCAGCTACAACGTAGGACCAGGCACATATATGCATCGGTCCAAGTTGCCATAGCGCATTAGCACAGCAAAATGAACACCGGATTCATAGGAGTGGTTAAGTTAGGGTTGCCCTTATTAGCTCCATTTATACTTTTGTACCGAAAAATCATGAAAAGGAATAACTAATTGTCACCCATATCCATGGTTATGACTGAGAAAGCATACTTTGTATATTTTCCGATTGATGGGTATCATACTTTTGACTTATATATGCAGTTCTCAAATTTTAAACCACCTTATTCGAAAGATTAAAAACCTTTCAGAATACCGCACATAGCCTACTTTTGTGTTCGTGAAGTGTCCCAAGCTGATCGATTAAGTTGGCCTGGACGCTTAACTTTCAATCACTGGGTTATAGGTCCAAACGCTGGTCCCATCCAACTTAGTTTGGACAACTGCATGGTATTATTGGACCTTACACTATATGTCTTAAACTAAGTACGTGGATCTACAGTTCGTTACTGAGATGTAGAAAATACTACTGTTTAGGTTGGAAAATGTAATGATTATGGTATAGGAGCCATGTGTAGTCTCATTCAATTTGTCATGATTATTTAACGTCCAAGATTGTGGGAACAAACAAAAACTACACACTGATAATCACAAAGTACCAAAACTAATAAAGAGCAGATAATAAAGTCCTAAGTGTCAGTATGTTTTCAATTCATATAGGTGTGAAGGTCTTCTTGGAACATTTAAAACGATGCTTTTATACTTTATTTGGGATGAAATCAACTAATATAGCATATTTATCAAGTATAGGTTTAATGCTCCTGGATTAAAGCCACACTCCTGGTATGAGCGCTAGTGAAACTACCCGACCACTAAAACTGGAAATAGTGCAGGCTTCAAATCTGGGACTTAATGATTGAAAGTTGATATGCTTTAAGCACTAATCTAGCACATTACTCGAAAAACAAACTAATATTTCAAATTTCAAAATTTTAATTACGCTGATTTCTGCGTAGTTACTATACAATGATCTTGTTTGTTCTTACAACCCGAATCAACAAATAATCGGCATTAGATTACATTGCTCGTGAGTTTTATACCACAAATAATACAAGTGAAGTTGGCGATTCCGGACAGGTTTTAAAGCACACGTATACATATCAACATCCGGATGTAACCCAATTTCTTGATCTCCAGATAAAAACATACCCAGTAAACCAAGGGAGTTCTAAGTCTTCAATTGAGAGGAATATCAAAAGGGTAAATAGACCGACCTAAGGTTCGTTACTCAAATACTCTTGATCGAGTTAGCTTTTACAGAATTATGATCTGAATTGACTACATTACGTGATATTCGTAAAGGCTGCTCATCTTTCCCACTTTTTGTTCATTTTGTCGCACATTCCTAAAAATGAAATCTGTCTGACTTTTCATGAGTTGACTTAACAGTCAGAGACTCACAAGAAAGATAGAGATTTTGATAAGATCCAGTCTTTGAAGCTCTGACTAACAATCAAGAATGTTTGCGATACGTTCTTCGCCTAATTGTGAAATGTTGCTTTATGACCTAGTATTTGTAGAAGTCTAGTTTGATCTTGGTGAGTGAAGTATTAAAGTGGGTTGATGACTTCACTTACCTTGGAAGTTCTGAGTTCGTAACTGACAAAATCTAGAAACGAGAATGTAATGGTCACTTGGCATTTATCGACTTGTATATGAGGCACAATACCTATAAAGGGGTATGGATACCCCACAACAGCGTACTCAATATTTTTTACGGCTATGAAGAGTGACCCATAGGAAGAATTGATATGGACAGGCCACAGGTGTCTGATCACAGATATCTTCGAGAGCTGTTTGTGTATAGTGATGTATACTGAGGCTATACACCGGAATGGGGGTGAGGTTGTAAACCTTAATCGACTGAAGTGGTTGAGACGTGTTAAGCATGCATTGCAGGTTGACATAGCAGTAGATTGGAAATAAGACAGGTGCTCAGATCAAGACGGTAATGATTTATAGTCACTGACTGTTATTCTGTTTCGGATCAGTTGCAATGGAGCAAGTGAATCCAGTCTTTATCCTCTAAATCTTAACTTTTGGAACAGTTCCACACTTTATATTTTCAATTGGATCCCTTTTTTAAAGAAGATATCCCGATGCATATTTGTGCCAGATCCATCCTACAATATTACACTTAGGCTATGGAAAGGAACAGAATATACATGAATGTAGGTCTTACCTCACCACAACCTTTTGTACCTTTCGTCTGGACCCATACTTTCAAATGGTAGGTAACTAATCCTTACAGAACAAGTTAAGATCATGAAAAAGTTTCGAAGCCTATTTTAGAATTTGTTCGTGACCATTTTTTTAATGATAGTTATCTGGATTTCATTTTTTCGGTAGATTAATGTATTTGGCTTTTAAGAAGTATACGTGAGGTGACGATACAGCCCAGCTGCTCAAACAGAAGTGGAAGGGTTAGTACCTGAAGCATAAACACTAAACCATGAACCCGAAATTAAATAACTGTTCCATATGCAAATAAACTGCCTATTACTGTTTTCGAAGGACAAAAAAAGCGAATAGAGATGCTCCCTTAGGAATAACTTGACAAATAATGAGTAAAAAATCTATACTACTATAGAAACATATCAGATAATGATTACGTATGAAAATGAACAAGGATATAAGGTGTGATGAACGAATAAAGAGAACTGTTTATTCAAGTGAACGTACTTCGTTAAGTAAGGGTTCAGCCGGTGGTTCAAGACGTAATTCTTCTGTTTTGTACTCATTGTTAACATAATAACCAACACGTATAAATTCTTTATCTCTGTACAAAGCTTGTATAAGCACAACTGTTACGCCGACAATGTCTTCATTAGGAATTATTTTTGGATCAGGAGCATTAGCCTCAAAAGAAAATTGATGACGACCAACTGGAATTGGACCAACTAAGATGGAATCTAACGTCTGGTCTAAAGCTGGGTTGTAGGCACTGCTAACATACACTAACTTCCATTCTAGATCTAAAGTCGTTGAAAAACACTAACGGTAATATGAATTAATATGGAAGTACTTTATTTTTTAAATAAAGACAATTAACAAAGAGCCTATTTAAAAGTGGAATACCGATTTGAGCCAACCTGAAGAATGGAATATCTATTAACTCGTTAACATCTGACCCCCATGAAGTGTGACTTGTTAGTTCAAGCAAGTGACAAGTGGAGTAATGGTCTAAAAATTGCCTTACTAATCAAGGTTGAGAGATCAGGCGTAAACAAAACCCAGAAAACAGGTGTGCTAACCTAAGATACTTACCTCTGTTAGGTATCTTAGATTTCGAGTGATCTGACATGAACTACACTTGTAGATTAAGCTGGTCAAAAATAGCTATACACGAGTATTCACACAGAATATCCTACTCATTGGATGAAGTTCTCACTGTCTACTATCTGATCAAGTTCTGTATGATTTAACTGTTGTAGTTCGATTCCCCATAGCTTAAATCCTACTGAAAATCTTTAGATAAGTTGTGGGTATAGCATTAATTATTGCTTCATGGGACTAGTTGGCTCACAAGCACGTAACACAGACAATATACGGTCAACTTATGATGTTGGATTAAAGTCATTACTAGGAAGACTCCAAGTATGGTAACAGGTTCACAATTACGTGGGTTTACAAATATGATCGACACCAGACAAAAGGGTAGTTTGGGAAACCAGTGGCACTAATTGTTGTGTTGAGTGCTAATTGCGAAAGGTTCAAAAACATCTATATGCACAAAGTTAATCTGATTGTTGCCATACAAAGTCTCCAGCGTTCATTCATAAACCAGACCTAGCGATTCGAATGATATAAAAACGACTTTCGGGAACTACAATGCTTAAATGGCAGAAATAATTCGTGAAGTTTCATTTGATTAGCTGCATTACTTGCTTACATAAAATCGAGATAATCACAGATTGGATTTAATTTATACACAGCATTATATGTGCTACGGGAAGCAGTCAGTACTAACAAATAGCGACGGTTCGAACAGTAGATTACAGCGAAGCATAACGTTGGGTCGTTCGTTTTAATCATAGTGACATCATCTTAGTGTTTTCTTATGATGTTACTCAAGATAAAAAAGCAGAGAAAAACCAAACATTTGATACTAATACTGATAATTAAAAAAAGTATATGGCTCACCATCATCTAGAGGTTCATGGCACTCAAATGTTATACGGAACTTAAATGGATCAAAGAATGAAGCAGGGTTGTCTAAAACCTCAACATTACAAATGTTAACCTTCGCCATAAAGCAACCTCCGAGTGTAGCGCTAAAATTTGGTTCGAAACTCTTCACTAACAATTTTTTGTTTTAATTATCAGATTGTCTTAATCTCAGGCACATGTTATTTCAGATTGTTATCAGTCACTCACGTTATTAGATATAAGTGCATTTTATGTGCTAACTGAGCTTCCTACTCACTTTTTCTATTGTTCTTTTCTCTTCTAGATAATCTTTCTACTTCCAAAACCCCTCGGTTTTCGCTTGATGAGCTCCTATGCTTAATGGTGACAGGTTATCGACACCTCTCATATGAGACAAACTCAAGCAAGAGGAATATCTGTAAATTAGTGTTGTATTAGGTTTCTTCTTTAGAGACTCTTCAAAAAAGTGGCTTGGACTAACTTGGACGACAGTGAATCACGAGACTCGTGAGGGCGGTGCGATTACAGTCCAGTCCACTGTATTGCACCTCGGATTTCTGGTCATCGCCACCAAAGTTCCTGTTCGAACAGAACTTAACCAGAACCTCTAGAAGATACCCAGTAGTGCTTAGGATTGTGTAAGTCATAAAAAATTCATTCACTTGTTGCTTATTCTCTAAAGGGTAAAAATCTAGGAATTTACTGTCTGATTTCAATTCCGTAAAGTGATTTATTGGACCCCCTTAAATACGCGTCATAGCACTCTTATCTTTTCGAAATGAAGGAGGAAACATTATGCTTTCATGCTCTAAAAGTGACCAACTAATAGTATTCAATATCAAGTGAAAAACCCCATTTTTTAACCGGATGAAAATGAGCTTCAAAGCCACTATTGCCACGTCTTCTATAAAAATGTTTTTCAGCGTTAGCATGTGGTTTCCGCCAGAAGATATCAAAGATCCTAAATCACTTTTTGATATGTGAAACGTCCAAAGGAGAAGTGCCAAAATGGTGTATGTGGCTATGAAATATATCACAGACTGTCATATTTTGAAATGCTGGAAGTATGTTCGTTGTTATCTGAGCAACTTCGAAGTTGGGTCGGATCCCCCTGAAATGCTGGCCTGTTCACACTCTTCTCCAAACCATGGCGTTGTAGCGTGGAGTCGAGTCACGATTGACTATGAGCACCACTATAAATCGAGCGCGTACCAAGTAAAGCAGAAGGCGATAGTAGATCGTAACCAAGTTTATTTGTTGGCGATCTCGTGGTATTGAACGAATACCAAGATCGTGCCAAAAAGACACAAGTAGACTCGGCAGGTAGAAAGACGTGCGTAGAGAGTCAGAAAGCGCGAAGAAAAGTTATGGAGTCCAATGGAGGACCAATATGGCTGCTATTAGCATAGTTAAACAAACGAGCACAGTAAAACAACCACTGGTACAATTAGTTATAATAATAATTGTTTTCATTGAACCAATCGCGTTCTGTTGACAAAAGTAGGTCACTACAGGAGTCCCCCGCTAGGAAGGGTTTACACTTTCGATAGGTAGTGGTTTGGTTCGTGGGACTGATCGGCAAAAGTGCGGTTGTAGGACGGAGGAAATTGGCGGAACAGGAAGTGATCGTTGATCCTCGAGTTGCCAACAGAAGTCTTTTGCGTAGAACAGTATCAGGAGAAGTGTGCTGTATTTGTTGCTCGAGTTCGCACACCACACCAGAGTGGTTTGTATCCAGGATCTGAAGATTGCGTTCGTAGGGATGCGGACCAGAAAACGCTGCAGACGTAGGACGAAACCACTTTGAGCCAAGCAACCGGAGGTGACCATAACGACCAAACGCGAAACCAAGCGTATGCCGGGAGAATTCGAAAACAGATTATCGACTGAGTGCGTTGACAAGAGCGTGGGTGATCAGGCCAGCTTTCGCCAAGGTTGACTGATGTCGACGTTACCAAACGGGCGATGGTCGGAGGCGTGGGCTCAGGATACAAAAAAATCAAAAAGGAGAAAAAAATGTAGCATGCATGTAGATTAGCAATAGTGCTACACCGTATCCGTTATTGACTGTGCGGTTAGTCGCGAAAGCGTACGGGTAAGCGTACTCGGCGACCGGAACGTGAGACGGTAGTCTCGTTCGTACTTCGTGAGCCTGCAATCTCATCCGAGGTCAAGGACGGCGTGGTCTGCTGATCTGGACGTGAGACGGAAGTCTCGTCCGTAGATGGTGCAGATGACGCGTGCTGTTGACCGGGACGTGAGAACGAAGTCTCTGATGTATATAGTGTGGAATCCGAGATAGACGTAGAGATCCCGCTAGTAGGTTCGATAGGTCTAGCATTGATTCTCAAGTTATCAGGTAGGGCACTGTCATCGACGTGTGTTGGTTTGAGACGATCAATACAGACGATCTCGACGCGGCCATGTTGATCAACCTTGGAGGCCTTTTCGTGACGAGAGATCACGTGAAAAGGGCCTTCGTAAGGCTGTTGCAAAGGTTTGAGTACCGAATCTACTCGTATGAAAACATGTGAACAGGTAGATAAATCTCGAGGGAGAGCGACCTGTCGATGTTGTATTCGAGTTGACACCGGAGACAGCGTTCGCATAAATGCAGACAGTCGATTCACGTAGTCTGATTCACCGAAGTTGTTACTGCTCCGTGGTGTGAAGAATTCCCCAGGCAGACGCAATGTCGTGCCGTAGACAATTCAGCGGCGGAACATTGGATATCTGCCTTCAAATTCGTTCTAATACCTAAGAGAACGAGCGGTAAGGTTTCGTACCAATTGTCGTTTTCGTGTGCACGGAGAGCACTTTCAAGTTGTCGATGAAACCGTTCGACTAAACCATTCGATGCTGGATGGTAGGCGGTGGTGCGTATGCGTTCCGTACCCAGCAGCCGACTCAGTGAGAATAGTGAATTGGGTAAATTTCTCGAATATAGCGCGGAATATATCGTCAAGCGAATAAAAAGTGCCGAGGATTCGGTGCGCGTACATCGGAGTCTATTATATTAATACTATTCTTATCGTTATCCGTCATGTCGAGTATATTATATATTAAAAATTAATATGAAAATATACGACAGACGTGGATAGATAAACAATAGACTCACCGAATTGCCTTCTTTGGAAGATTTGACCGGGGTTGAGACGTGTTCCCAGATTTGGCTCACCAATTGTAGGGTGGAGTCGAATCGCGCTAGGTCACTACAGCGTCAAAAAAGAGCAGTAGTTGCAGATGGTCATGTTTAAAAGTTTAAAAGCGAAAAGTCTTATTATGGAACCCCTGTTATACCGCTAAGGCATCCTGTAACCTGTGAAAGTGAGGAATTCGCTCTGACCATAAACGGCTTGCTATTCATATGTGGCATTATTCAGTCCACCACTGGTGAGCGCTCCATCAGGTTAAACTTATTGGTAAGACAGGTATGGTAGATCCTAGATTCGAAAAACCGTACATCTATTATTTCTTCAAGACCAAGGATAATGGTCCATCTATTCATAAAATAGATTTTACGAGATCCACAAAATATAAATACTATGTCTCATTTTAGTGAGCTACCAGTATCAGTGTAACAGATGACTGGTTCTCTTTTATAATATTCTGCACTGTTGCCGCTTAATTTTATACGTTATCAGTGCAAAAGTTCTTACGTTTAAGTTCTTCAATTTGTGAGCAACAGATTTAACTCTGTGAAGTTCTACAGGTCGTTTGTGAGATATCATGGTGAAGGCTAAAGTTACTGTCAAGAGACGTGTTTGCCGTGAACCATCAGCTTTCAATTATCATTCACCTATGTACGGAGTATTAATGTAAAAACTGGCTGCCGTTCTTTTGATGGATAGTGTGCGTGCTCATTGATTTTAGAATATTAATCGGCTACTTCTAAATACCAGGCCATTCTACTGGCATGCTCATCTTCCACAAATGACCATATTATTTAGAGTATGGTTGAAATTATCTGGCTTTGTTTGAGTAAATGTATCTCAGATGTGTCAACGCTCTTTAGTATATGCCATGACAACTTCATTTTGCATTGTTTGTTTGAATCTTCTCATTAATGTTTAGGACTGCAATTAATCAGTCTCTTATTGACATATGTGCATAATGTGTGTGTCGCTTCGATAATGCCTCAATTCACAAGCATTTTAAGCAAAGATGGATAGCAGTAGAATCCAGGTCGCGCGTTTCATTCTATTTTGGACTCGTCAACTGGATGTACCTGCATCTCAGAGTTGATGTTCACTCCAGGACTCAAACCCAGTACCGTTCGCTTCAGACGCCACTATCCATCTTTGCCATGAACATGAGTCACCAATTGATCAGAGTTCGACAGCCAATCTTTTAATTTAGCAATAAGTCCAGTTTGATGTTAACCTTTGTTGATGAGCTTGCCAGGGATGACGACGAACAGTGGAATAAGAGAGCCACAGTTGCCAGCCTAGTTTGTGAAAACCATTTCCAGAGAAACACAAATTTATTTATAGAAACGACAAAAGTGAAAATTTATGTAATATAAGAACGTCACAACAAAATATCGCCAGGAATATAAAGTCCTCAAACAATTTCATAATCACAAAATGATGTTTGATCATTTAACCTCAAATTCTGCCACATAATATTCCCGGTCAGTCACAATCACAATTTATCTTTTGAGGGAACAAACAATATCTGGTCAGTAGACTGAATAGAATACGGCCAAACAGTCCAAAGACACCACAGATATTGATAGTTTGACAACGCTTTCACGCGCAACACCTCTATAATCAAAGTATATCGACCTGGTCAAATCAGAAGTCCGAAATGAAGAGGTCTGAAAATGTATTCGGAAAGTTATCGATACGTTAAAGAGCTTCTGGTCTAAATTGGCTAGCGGTCGCATGGGATGCGTAGCGCAGCCCACTCACTCGTTAACTGGTGCAGGTACGTGACTAAGAGCCTTCAGCTGGGTGTGTTCAGTAAAACTAATGAGGTCAGCACCAATACAGAACCATTCATTTCGGAGATTCATTTACCGATACAAGTTTTCAGTGGTATCAACAGAAGTTAGACTTTAACAGCAAACAATTTGGGCAGTTCTTGATGTTATTGAGCTGACATTACTAGCGTAAAATGTAGCAACAATATTGCGAATCCAGGTTGTGCCTCA